ATCCTTCATAAAGGTATCAATTACACACCTTTATGAAGGATCTGTGTTTCATCTTCCCAGTGTATCAATTACACACACTGGGAAGATGAAACACAGATCCTTCATAAAGGTGTGTAATTGATAAACTTGGAAGATGAAACACAGATCCTTCATAAAGATGTGAAAACGAATTTAAAAGATGGAATTTGGATCCTTCCTTAAACTTGCTAAGATTTTAATCATGTACAATATCATTGTTTGAGTGTGTGTGTATTTACAATATTATTGTTTGAGTGTGTGTAAACAGGATTAGGGGGGAAAAATGCTCGTTTTGTGTACAGACATTTAGTTTATTTTCCAATTCAGCATATACATTATTATTACAAGATCAATAACACGAAAATTTTAAACTTTTCACAATATTAACCTATAGTAGTAGATTGGAAGACTATAGATTTGCACTTATCGTGACTCCAACTTTCACGAGAATCTAAAACATCACAAATTCTAGCTTAATAGCACAGATATAAATACTAGTTTGAAACAATGTTACCTTGCAGTTTTAGCACTAACTTTCACTTTATCTGAGAAAGTAATCAATATCCTTAGACACTTTGGGGAACGACTTGCATTATACGAAAAATTTATTTCGCTAATATATTTTTAAGAGTTGCTACCTCGAAACTTACAATGTAAGCACAGTAAAACATTCTTACTTTTTTGCTTAATCCTAACCTTAAAAAGGAAATCAGTTATGCCGTAAATATTTTAGCACACAAAATTTTTCTTGAAAAATGGGTTTTAATAAATATACTTTTAATGAAGAAATTTATATTCAGGAGGATGTTCTTTATCCCACAAAATTTAAATGTTTAAAATTGATTTTTTTCATATTCGATTTTAGGCTAATAAACCCAATTTTTCCCCCTATAGGTTAAAAAATTATTTGTTCTAAAATTATTATTCAATATTCAAATAACGTAGCTACAAGTTTCTTGATTAAAAACAACATATTCACTGGTAAGTGATATCTAAAGTAATATGATATACGCCAAGTTTTAAATAAGGTCGTCATCATATAATAGTAGATTTATCCTATCCTCTAAATGTAAACATACTTTAATAAGTTATTTAAATTGAGATAATAAGATCATTATTCTCGACATTTATTTATAAATCTTCTTAATCTAATTTCACATCCCATAATTCTCTGAACAAAATAAATCTGTTTGTATAACATAGAAAAATAATGCTTTTAAAACTGGGATAATATGTGAATAGGTAAAGTTCAAATTACCAGGAATCAATATTCAGCACATGCGACGTAAAAACTCTTCAACTCTGAAATGTTAAAACATTTTTTGAATATATTTTGTCGTTCTTTCGGACCTATATATATTGATTCATTTGATATCACAAAGTTCCATCCTATTCCATTATGCCTACTTTGAACACATATAAGACACCTAATCAATATCCTAAAAAATTGGAAGACATTTTTTGTCCGCTACAACAAGAATATTTTTCCACATGGTCATATACATATAAAAGACCTATATGCATTCGTAACCGAATCTTGTAACAAAAACAAATCACTGGAAAAACATTTTTTTTGGAATAAGGTTTAAAACTTACTGGAATATTTCTCTAACAAATTGTATATCCTTGAATACAGAAGTGTGGAACCCTAAAAATGTTATTGTATGCTAAAACAACAACAACAACAACATGAAAATATTTCTTGTGGGCGAACCCTAATGCAGTATATTTGATGATCAGAAATTATCCTGAAAACTGAAAGGATAATTGCTGCACTTTTGTCAAATAACTAATATTCCATTTTTGAAGAATTAACACTTTCTTTCTGACTGTTTTACATTCAATATTACATGATAACTCTTTTACATCCAATATTACATGATAACTCTTTTACATCCAATATTACATGATCTCGAACAACAAAGCCAAAGAAATGGATGTTTTTTTTACAATAAACAAAATTTGCTTGCATAAAAAACAAAACTGAATATTTTGTTTGCTTTTAAACAAGCTAAAAATAACATTCAAAAGAGCGAAGGAAACCAATTGTTCTGTATTGATTTCTGAATCCTATAGTACTTGCATAATATAGTGGTTCAGTTCATCGCTAATGATGCATAACGGCATAATGCTTATGTGAACATTTTATCTTCGTTGAAAGCTTTTGTTATTAGTTTCTTTTAAATGAATGTATCAACAATGTACAACGTTAAAAATGTTTATAAAAATTGGAAGACATAGTTGCTCAATTTACCAAGACATTCCAAGTAAGATGCGTCTCCAATGACGCCTAGCTACTGTATTCCTACGTGAACATTTTACCTTTCTGTTGAAAGCCTCCTTCCGTACTACTTTCTTTTAGACGACAGTATCAACAGTACGCATCATAAAAATGTTTATAAAAAATGGAAGACAAAGTTTTTTAAGTTGTCAATATACTTCAGGGAAAATGTCTGTTTAACTTTGACAATTTTCTTTTTGCGTTTGTTACAAAACGAATGTTGATTTTTGATTGAAACTATTATTTGCAGTCTTTAAAAATTCAGATATTTTCCTTTTTATATTATTCATTCGAACTTTTGTTTAAGCATTGTTTAGTTCTGCTGTTTTGTTTCAGCATTGTTTAGTTCTGTTGTTTTGTTTCAGCATTGTTTAGTTCTGCTGTTTGTTTAAGCATTGTTTAGTTCCGCTGTTTTGTTTCAGCACTGTTTAGTTCTACTGTTTTGTTTCAGCATTGTTTAGTTCTGCTGTTTGTTTAAGCATTGTTTAGTTCTACTGTTTTGTTTCAGCATTGTTTAGTTCTGCTCTTTTGTTTCAGCATTGTTTAGTTCTACTGT